AGCAGCTGGAACAGCCGTCGCTCCAGCTGGAACAGCATCGGCCGAGCCCCCAGCCTCAAGCGCCGGGGGCAGAGTGGCGAGCGCAGGTCCCTCCTCTCCGGGGAAGGGAAGGAGAGCTCAGAGGAAGGAGAGAGCTCGGATGAGGAGCACTCCAGCCGGGCTGGCAGCTTCAACGGCTCTTTGCCTCATCGCATGGAGTCGCTGGAAACAAAAGGGTCCTTTGACCTCCAGGATACCCTGCAGGTGCCTTCCCTGTATCGGACCAGCAGCATGCACAGCAGCCGAACCTCTGCCTCTGAGCACCAGGATTGCAATGGGAAGACCTCTCCAGGTCTGCTGCTGCACCAGCTCCCCCTGGATGAGCCTCACCAGGATGGTGATGATGGCGATGATGAAGGCAACATGGTAAGGAAATGCCATGTGCTCATTTCGGGCTTTTTTCCTTGTCAAAATGATGCTTGTCCCTGTCTTCAGAGCACATAAGTAGATGAAAAACAATGGCCTGTTGCACAGATTAGGTGTCACCATCACTGCCAGACCAGACTGAGAGTCACCCAAAAGGTCTCTGGGCAGTGGATGCTGTCAGAAATTGGGTTGGGATCATAATATGTATTACAGTGCAATTTTAGATGGCTCATGATGGAGAGATCAGGGCAGAACTCCCCAAGTTTCACTAAAAGATGCAGAGAGAAGTTTATCTCTGAGAAATATATGTTTTTCTGGATATATATTTTTTTTACTTTTTTAAAAAAAAACCCAACAAATAACTTTCACCATTCTCCAACCACTTTCTGCCCCCACACCAGCAGCAGACAATTTCTCTTGACAAGTAAGGAAAAGGCAGAGCTTGGCCCCCCATTCCCATGTTGGTGTTAGTCCTTTGGAGACATTGATAATTTCAGAGGCTTTGCATTAATTTACATCTGAAGAGCCATTACACCTATGAGCATCTCTTTTACTAGCCTGAAAAGTGCCATTTAGGAAGTAGTGGCTAAAATGTCTGCAAGTGCAGGGAAGGGATGAAGGTGCTTGGTTCTTTCTTCCCATGGTTATTTGTATCTTAAGGGAATTAAAGGAATCTGGCTGCTTTTCCAAAGCTGTTTGCATGGCTGGCAGAGTGGGACAGCAGGATGCCACAGTCCTGGCTGTCAGGTGTGTGTTAGGATGTCTCAAGGACAGTTTTGGGGTGTTTCCTTATCTTTCCAGGTTAGCTCTTTGTTTCATTTTACCTTGTTCTCAGGCTTCAAAATGTGATGTGCCATCCCCAAGGGTAGCCCTGTTTCTCTTGATGGAGCAGGTGGATTTTTGGGTAGAGCCATGTGATGGTAACAGAGGTGGTTCTGAGTAAAGGAAAGCTGCAGCTTGTGGACATGATTTTACTGTATTTCACTGAGTTTATTGAATGAAAATGAAATTGGGATCATGTAAAGGGATGCAAACGGCAGCAGTGACTCCAGAGTCATTCTGTTCCTTATGGGAGGAGAAAGAGAGTTAGTGCTGGCAGAATGGAGTCACTCAACCATGAATTGCTTTTAAAAAAAGCCATTATCCCATTACATCTCCATCATGGATCCTCAGCCTGGGATTTTTACTGATTGTCTTAACCTGGTTTTTAACTTCCATAAAATAAATTGAATTTTGAAGAAAAGGAGCAGTAATTATTTTTGGAAAAAGCACTATTAAAAGTGATCAAGAGACCATGCTCTTCATTGCCAGCTAGGGATTTTTTTTCATGTTCCAACATCTGCTGCTTTTTCCAGCTCACCTGGTCCAAACATCCCAGGAGATGTCCCTTCCTTTTCTTCCCACAGGATTAGAAGCAGCTTTATGCTGGACATGGTGTGATGGGACATGTCCCTCCTCTCCCATCCCTCCCAGCCAGTGCTGATGATAAGCAGTTGAATAAGAGTTTTCATCTTTATTACAGCAGCTGCTTCTGGTGTAAACCAAACATCATCCTCTGTTTACCAAGGTCTGGCCAAGGATTTTACCAAAGGTCCTTCAATCCCCTC